ATTGTTATACATGACTAATGCAAACCCAAGCAGAAAAAAATGGGCAAGTCACAACTGTAGACTTAATTGCCTTTTTAAAATCTTGCATAATCCCTTTTTTCATTCATAATCCCCAAGCTATCTGGCTATGAAATGAGCATGATTGTTTCTTTCTACAGTCTATTTTGACACTAGATGGAGGGAAGCTTGTTCACATACAAAAATGGAATGGAAAGGAGACCTCACTCGTTCGAGAAATAAAAGATGACAAGTTGATTTTGGTAAGAAAACCAGCATATCTATTTTTTCTTTGGCAATTGGTGATTTCTATTGTAGGGAGAGGTTCACTTAGAAATTGTTGAGACTGAGTGATGCCAAAGCACTTTTAGACAATGAAAATCAACTAGGATTAATTGGGAATTCTGAATTATTTCTTCTTTCAAATGAGTAAACCATCAAAGGGAGCATAAACCAAATAATACAGGGTGCAGCATCCTTGGTTTAGTTAGATATTTTAGAAACTCGGTGTGCAAATTGGTTCAAGTTTTTAAAAACTGGTTAAAAGTGAGAAGTGGATTACTTGGCCTGTTTTAGAAAGTGTCTTGGCACTCTTTCAAAGTAGTCCAATGAATGAATTTGGGGGTTTTTTTGCGGGCAAAAAGTATGCTTCAGATTTGAAAACTTTTTCACACAATCCTGCCAGAAATATCTTCAGCCTCGAGGAACACTTTTGAGAACAGAATTGATCAACTGCTGATTAACAGAATTGATTAATTCAACCCTTAGTTCTTTACTCTGGGGACGAGAATATAGATTGCTTGGACAAAAACTAGAGAAAATAATCTTCATATTTAGGCGAAGGCAATCTTTGTTGTGTTAAAAAACGGTAGGAAACCATCCTTTATTTGTACAGAAATATAGCCACAGGGCTGACCCAACCCACCGTTTCATAATTTGGTTTATTTTGATTCAATTTAATATGCAGGGCAAGTCTGGCTCATTTTTGGTTAGCAAAATAATGATTAATGCCTTTGTAAATTGGGCAACCCAAGCCTATAATAATTCACAGTACAGTAAAAGTGATAAGTTTTCTTTCCCATAAGCAGATTTTCTTTCAGCATTCCAGAATAAAAGATAATTGTTTTGTGTATCATCTTCTCTTTCAGACTCTGACAATGGGTGATGTGGTCTGCACTCGTACCTACCAGAAAGATAACTAGAAAGTTTCTACCTCCTTCCTACCATAATCCTATTTTTCACTGCCAAATTGCTGGTGTTTTCTTTCTTTGTGTTTTGTACACTTACTGTAATTTTGGAGACCTTTCAGTATCCAACTTGAGCTCTCTTCATAAGTGCCAGTCACCTTGACCTTTATGGAGTTTTGGGTGTGCCCACACATTTTTACTATCGAAGAGATCTTTAAAAAAAAACAGTAATAAAGTGAAACCATTGTTACAAAAAAAAATGCTTAGTTGAGTTTCCATCTACATGTTCTGCTTTTATCAGGATTATGTACAATTTCATCAAAATTGAAGCTTAGTTTCTATTTATCTACCTGACAGAGGCAGTTACTATGTTCATGCTGTTGCATGTCTGAAGGACTTCTTAGGAAACTGAACACACAAGTCTGCATTAGATCTCACTGTTGCCTGCTAGTAGCTGGCAACTGAGCCACAAAATCTGCTATATGGAGGTGTGCTTGCCCTTCTACAAAACTACCATATTCTTTTATTCTGCAAAACAAAATATGTGTAAGACTGATATTGGATTAGACTCATCCAATCTCATCCTTTATTCTAGATCAGTTGGTTTTCCAAAACTCTATAGTCCACTGCTTATCAGTCAAGATTGTTTTTCCCATCATAAATATTACTAAAGATCTGGAACAAGATTAATCAAAATTCTCCCAGCTAGCAAATTTACAAGTTGTCTCATTACTCTGCTAGCTGCAGGGTGACCACCTGCATTATCTTAAGGCTGTTTGATATCAGAATAGGACCTCTTGAAGATCTGAATTATGGAATGGAATGTCTGTGACTTTAAACATTACATAGCATGCACAGACCCTGTTTTTAGGTGTTGTTATAATGGCTATCTTTATTTGGCCTGTTTGTATATAAATTAACCCTAGAAACATGAATATGGCTTATTTATCAATTCAGTTTTAGGAAGGCACATCAAATAACCAGAATGGATCATAAAGGTAGCATCGAGTAAACTGGAATCACTCAGACACAAACCTCTGGGTGGAGTGAACAACTTTTAAAGTACAGACAAGTTTGGAAATACATGCCACACAAGTTTTATTTTCTCCTCCTGTCAGCAACAGTATTTCCAAAGCACTGAGTCATTCCTAGGATGGTTATATCATTTTTGATCAAAATTTCTTGCTCTGTTGTTTAGTCAGTTTCTAGAAATTCTCCAGTGTATATATATTTAGGGAGGAGCACATATTTCTTCTATCAGTGACTTTAAATGAAGCACACAGAAACGACAGCAGCCTTTGCAGAAAGCACCATCTCCTAAAGGTTATTTCTCAACCTCGGCACATTTTAAGATGTGTGGACTTCAGCTCCCAGAATTTCCCAAGCAGCATTCAGTTCTGGGAGTTCAAGTCCACACATCTTTAAAGTTGTCAAGGTTAAGAAACACGGTCCTAGAGCATTTGATCTGAGTGACTGGTTGTCTCCACGTATTTCCAATGAGTTTCTTCTAGAGACAATCAAATTATATATAACCCCTATTTGTTCTAAATTGCACTGGACTCTTAAAACATTTTATACTTTCCTTCTGGAGTATCAGTATGTGAGTCAAAAGTAACAGCAATGTACTTGAGTCCTTATATCAGCACTACTGATATTAATGTACAGTTAGCAATTCATGGGAAGGTCTACCATACTCACTAACCGTTCCCTCTTTGCAAAATAAAAAATTAACTGGCATGGCATGTGGTGGAGAGGAACAGTCCTGGGTATTACTTTATGCCTTTATTCATCCAATACATCTGGTCAAATTATTTTGCACTCTGTTCTTGGGGGGGGGGGGACACAGGTGTATGACTTAGGTATATAGATCTGGACTCATGGCTTCTGCTGGAAAAATAAGTAGTGGCTTTGGCTTTGGCTGGCATGCCAGTTGCAGTCCTTAGGAGAATCTTAACTATAGTGACTCATGTTCTTGTCACCATCTGCTTAGATTACCACAACACTTTGAAGATCATTTAAAGTTTTCCAGTTGGTTCAAATTACAGGAGCCTGTGTGTTGACTGGTCTTTGCTGGTGGGATATACCAGTAATGTGATTCTTGCACTAATTGCCAATGGCCTTCCAGATGCAATTGAAAATGCTAACTTATCTCTGTGTGATTTGGCCCTTAAATTATTTCCATTCTCCCACTGGAATAAGTCTGAGTAGTTTGATATATCCAGGAAAAATTATTAGCCGTATCCTTTGGAATGGAGGTGGGGGTAAAATTCTATGACACTGTGTGGCTGGATGGCTAGACCAGTTCTTTGGAACAACTTTGAAGTGCACATTTGACAGGCTCCAATCCCAATTACACCCCAGCTGCTCAAAACAGATAGCATTTACATCTTAATCTTAGCTGGGTTACATTTTGGCTAATCTATGTCTTCATTCACGGGTGGACCTTTTAGTGGTATATTTCTGTTACTGTGTATCATTTCTTGGGCAGCTTGTAATCTTTAGTCCTTAGGCATGCACTACACAGAAGCACTTTGCTCAAACATATATTCAGTAAAGTGGCTCTTCAAAAAATGTAGCAGCTCTATTAGATAGAAAGTTTGAAAACTTTGAACCAAGCTGAAAACTTTGAAGCTAACACTGCTTTTCCTTGTAACATAAAAAGCAGGTAAGACCACACAATGTAGAGGCTTACGCCATCAATGTGCATTGTGCCAATCAGAGTAGGAAAATTCAATAATACATGGTGGTTTTCTTTGAAGAACTTCTGAAGATAATATAGGCACTGAGAAGTGGGGTTTTTTGGCAATTATGGTTCTTGAAGTGATTGATAGTTACGTTTATGAGAAATAGTACGATGCTAGAGGCATGATTTGCAAGACAGCTATCTTACCTAATCTCTGATCAAAGAGTTTAGTTACACACCTTATGTAAATTGCCTTAGATTTCCCAAAGGCAGAAATACAGGATATAAGCTTCAAAGTTGCCAGGATAATACAGAAAAGCTGGCGCTCCAATGTTATGTCACTGACTGCAACTCTGCATTCTTAATAGCTAAAATAATATAATATGGGTGGGGGGGGAGTTCTTTCAAGTTGGATTCAGCTCCTGGTATTTCATGGACTGGTGCTGCAGGGTTTTTTTTGGTAACAATAAGAAGTCACTAAATTGTCACTGATTTCTACCAGGCTGTTCCCAATTTAGACTAGAGCCTTGGAACTGACCAGCAGTTTCCTGTCTAAATAACAATGCCTTAAAGCAGTGCCCTCAACCTTTTGAGCACCAGGGACCAGTTTCGTGGAGAGGTTTTTCTGCAAATCGGAGGGGGTGAGATTTTGCAGGCTGCTTGCACCCCATGGGTGGGGCTTCACTTGTTCACACAGCTTGGTTGCTGGCATGCCTTGGCCTGGTGCCAGTCCGTGGGCCGCGGGTTAGGAAGCCCTGCCCTAAAGTATAATGGTCAATGTAAGAACAGCACGCCACCCTCAGTTCCATTTATATGAGCCCACTCAGGAAATTTTCTCTTCTGGGGGAGGGAAGCAAAATAGCTCTGTGAAGGTTCACTGAGGTCTGGAGTCTTCATTTCAGCTCTTAAATCCAGTCTGGGAAGAAACAACCCCAAAATGCAGCATTATCTACTGCAAGTCACTGACTGCACCCTTGCAGCCTCCAAAACTAACAAAAGTATAATGTAAGTGAGCCCCAGACACAAAAGTGCTTGACACCCTAGTTTGTAAAGCATCTCATAAAAGGAAGGTGACACAACTGGAAGGGCTATTCCTGTTCCTTCCCCAAATCCAAAACTACAGTAAAAAGAACCCCACAAACCAAAACTTTATTCATGGTTCAAAGGTAAACACTTGGCTCGTTTCTCAGTTTTTAAGATAACTGCTCCTGTACCCGATTTCTTCCTCCTACAGTATTACAGGACAAATAGGATAACAGGAATGTGGTGGCATGATCTGTTCTTCAACCAATGTGTCCCTGTTGGGTGAGAGGGTACATTCACAGTTCCTTCTGCTGGTAGGCAGACAATAACTGGCGGATGCTGAGTCAACACACAGCTGTTCCCAAGTGAGGAAATGCACCGACTGCCAGCTCCATACAAGTTTCTGCAAGATGGCTCTGGGTTGCTCCAAAGAGGCTGGCTAAAATCCAAGCATGAAGAAATGAAAGAACGGAGTAAGATTTCACAAGAATGAAGCCTAACAACTGGGACGACCACCCAGTGGCAGGCTGCTCCTTCCTTTCCACTTTATGGAAGGAGAATAGCCATCCTTGTGATAATCCTTGAAAAACAAAAGTGATTTTCAAAGAAAGAAAAACCATTTTATCTTAACGCATCCTGCTGGTTCAGTTGTTCTTTTTCCAACTGATGACCGTCACAGGGAATGGAAGCCACAATTTTCACTGAGAACATACGCAGCGCAGAGTCAGATTCTCACTCTCATTCTTTGTGCTTTTTCTTATGATGCTTCTTTTTCCTTTTCCGAGATGGACTGTTTTTTTCCTTGCGTTTTGCCTTCTTCCGGGCTGGCTGGTTCCCATTGTCGGAATTGGTACTGTCAGAAGCCTCCAAGTCCGTATTCTTACGTTTCCTTTTTTTCTTTTTATCCTGGTCGGGAGGAAAAAAAAAATCTCTTGATGAATACATAACTATACAGGTAGGCCCCGACTTACAACCACAATTGACCCCAAAATTACTGTTCCTAAGTGAGGCTAGTTGAGTTTCCCCTCATTTAATGATCTTTCTTGTCATGGTTGTTCACTGAATCATTGCAGTTGTTAAGTTAGTAACACGGTTGTCAAACTTGTCAGGTGGTGGCAAAAAGTGATCACATGACCCCGAGATACTGCAACGGTCATAAATATGTACCAGTTGCCAAGCATCCAATCATGTCACTGTGGGGATGCTGCAACGGTCATAAGTCATTTTTTTTCAGTGACGTAACTTTGAACAGTCACTAAAATGAATTGTTGTAAGTCAGGGAGTACTTGTATAATGGAGCTATTTCTCTGCTGTAATAAAGATCCGCCAACCCCAAAAAAAGAGTAGAAATAGAAGCCACTGTTTATTACACAGAACACAAACTAAACTACATATGCAAACTGGCATCTAATTATAAATTAAGAGTGCTCAATTTGTGCAGGGAAATTTCAGTAGATACTTTGTATCTTTTAAAGTCAGAGCTCTATGTAATGCTACAAATTCCTATCTATTTAACAGCATAGCTCTGTCAAGTAAAATTTGACATGCAGCTTTAAGAAAGTGGTACCTCTCAATGAAAGACAAAGGCCACTCTTTTGAAGACAGCAAAGTCCCACATTCTGGACAGAGAGGACCGCTGGTTTGAAAGAGGGTTCAAAAATCAAAAACCACCCTCTCTCCAGAGAGGGGGAGGGATATGACACCACCTGTTTCCTGTTTACAAGCCCTTTCAGCAGTTCCAAGAAGGCTCCACACCCATATGCACTATTCTGGTGTCTCTGAGGGCACAGATAAACCTCCAAGAAGCCTCAACAACTTTCAGAGGGAGTGCTAAAGACCAGATGACTGCACAGAATATAAATCCTTCCATTCTCCACCATTCAATCAGAACTGAAGAAACTTCTTGGATGAGAAGCAAAACAGCCTCAAGGGAAAACAAAGAAAATTCAGTTGCCTCTTGGAAAACCATTTTTGAGCAATGACCTGGTTGACTGAAAATGTCCATAGATACCTTTTTTCTTTTCTTCATAGAGTGGTGAGCTTTCTTTTCATCTTCTTCAGGGGCTGGCTCATCCTCTGGTATAAGGGTGTATTTTGTCCCTCCTGGCTGCATGAAACAATCTTTGGCGAAATGACCTACAACAAATGAATTATATAGATACATAAAATAAGGCAACCTTTTTAGATTACTCTTCTCTATCTCAAGATTTATACAGAATTCTAGATAATCGTTATACCTAAATGCTTAAGTCTCATTACATTTATGTTCTCCAATTTTGAAGAAAAGGGCATATACTGTCACCATATGGAATAAAAATATTATAGGCCAACAAATAAAAATTATATTTGCTTGGTTTCTCAACTTCTTTCAAACTCCTACCTTCTATAACTCCCTGAAAATGCACAATAAATAAAATATATATATTAATCGCATACCTGGACAACCACATTTCTTACACACAGTGTTCAAAACAGCTTCTAAAGTAATCTTTTGATTGGTATAATCTCTAAAGGAGCATTTTTTCCGTGCCTCTTGTCTGCATAAAGAAACAGAAACAACCATTAATATTAAGTTAGGAAAACCTTGTTCTACATGGAACAATGAATACATTCTAAGTTATGTCAAGAAAATTAATATTAAAAGGTAGCTTCCTGAGTTGTCACTCTCTATGATTCTTTCTAACTTACTGTCCATAATCAGAAATCTATGCAATCACAAAATTATTTTAGCAACTTTTTTATATCATCCAACTTCTCACAGCTCAAGGCAGTTTATCTACTACAAAAATACATTTCATAAATCATGCTAAAAATTACAAATGAAGCCCAGGACCACCTGTCTACACAAGTGTGGATTTCAACTCCCAGAATTCCACAGCCACATTTTAAAGTTGCCAAGGTTAAGAAATGTCTACCCAAAATGTCTGCCAAAACAAGATGGTTTTCACTACTTTGAAAATACATGTTTGTGTATAAATAAATAAATTCATTTGCCAACAGACAGCCGAGATGGGTAATTAAGAAGTGTGGGATATAAATGTGGGAAGAATCCAACACATCTTGGCATGGTATAATCATACTTATTAAACATAAAATGTTGACTGGCTATTCTATGGGCAGGAATAAAATCAACAGAAAGAGTGAAATAAGTGCTTTGTTAAGAAGTCTGGATGAAATACTGAACAGGAATCCTCTACACTACATTTTGTTGCAGAGATTCTTGGTGCAGCAGTCCCCAACCTTTTGGGCATCAGGTTTTGTCGGAAGACCATTTTTCCAAGACTGGAGATAGGTAGGAGGAAGAACAGACAACCTTGATCCCTTGAATATGCAGTTTATGGTAGGATTCACTTGGCTGCATCCAGCTGTGTAGACCGGTTAACAGACCATGGATCAGTACTCGTCCATAGCCTGGGGATTGGGGACCCCTGTCTTGGTGGTCCCTTCTACTTAGCTCAGAAGAACTGTTGAATTTTTACACTTTCTTTATGACAAGTCATACCAGAAAGACCTTTCGTACAGAGAAGAAAGATTAGAGGAATGGAGATTTTACTTACTCAAGGACAACATTATTGGGGTCTAAGTCTTTTCCAGTTCCTTGGTTAACAACTTTCATGGAAAGAGATAGTTTCAGTTTGTCATCCTTCTTCTGAAAACACAAGGCGATACATTTTGATTTTTATTTCATTCCCAGATACCCAAAAACTGATGTTAAGATGATAACAATCACTTTAAGGTACTATACTTCAATCATTGAAATGTATTAATATAAAATACATTAGCTATTCACAATGAGCTTTTTTTTCACAACTGGACTGGATATTTCAGAAGGGGTACTTTATGAAACATATAAATAACTTTTAGTTAGAATAAATTTACAGGATGGATCAATTTTTGAACTAATTTGAGATGTCTTGTACCCACATCATTCATAAAACTCAATCTCATTCAATTCCATGTTTAAAATTCAAATGAAATTAACGTTTTCTTTGAAAATTTAGATTTTCTGATTGCATGCTTTTTCAGTAACTTTGCCTGTGAACTTCAGAGTAAATGTTAAGACTGTGATATCATTCCTCTTTAATAAAGCATTTGTACAGTAAATGCTAACTATTAAATCTTTATTTGGTAGGAATCAATAAAGGAAGCCACAAATTTACCTCTTTTCCTATAAGTTTCACCCACACCTTTTCTCCAACATCCACCATCTCTGAAGGTTTGTCCACTCTACAATTTGACATTTGGCTTTTGTGAACAAGTCCTATGGCAATAACAAGAAAGTATTTTATTTTCTGCTAGAAATCAATAAAGTAGTTTTCTAAAACAACCTGTGTTCTACAAAGAAACTATTCAATTTTGCTTTCTATTCATTTTCACATAATACAAGTAATCAACTGACAACAGTTCATTTAGTGACCCTTCAAAGTTACAATGGCTCTGAAAAAAGTGACTTATAACTGTTTTACTACTGTTGCAGCATCCCCATAATCACATGTTCAAAATTCAGATGCTTAGCAGTTGTTTCATATTTATGATGGTTGCAATGTCCCAGGATCATGTGATCACCTTTTGTGACCTTCTAACAATCAAACTCAATGGGGAAGCCAGATTCACTTAACAACCATGTTCCTAACTTAACTGCAGTAATTCACTTACAACCGTGACAAGAAAGATCATAAAATGAGCAAAAATCACTTAACTGTTTCACTTAGCAACATAAGTTTTGGTCTCAATAATGATCATAAGTCGATGATTAGCAGTGTAAGTTTTATGTAAGCCACCAAGGTTACTTGGGAATTGGTACGCTCAAACACTTGTAAGTGGAAAAGTAACACAATAGTCACCACATAATTAATCAAACCTTGTTTTGGGGTTCCTGGGATTTTTATAAATGCTCCATATTCTGTCACAGAAGCAACCTGTAACAAAAATACATACAACCACTCACAAACAAAGCACCGTTTATTAATATACTGTCTCCTTACCCTGCTCCCAATAACAATGGAAGCTAGTACAATATTCTTAGTTTTGTCTATCTGATGCTAAAGATCAGGTAGCCTCTTGAGATCTGTTTGGAAATATCAGAGGGAATACTTACATAAATATGGGTCCACTAGTGTGCTATTTCTTTCACTGAATCTTCTCTATCTAAAAATTGTCTCCTTAAATTAAAATTCTATGTATACTTGGGAATAAACCTTATCCACTTTGGCATGGCTAAGATTATATATATATATGTGTGTGTGTGTGTGTGTGTATAAAATTCAGCACCAAACTACCAACTGATATAGCACAATTCCACACTATTTCTAAGATGTTATTCAAGAAACTTTACCAAAGCCCGTTACTTAGTTCTAAATCTATTGATTAGATATCCTAGCCACTTATATAAAGTATTTTTTAAACAATAGACTCATGTGTTAATTGGAAAAAAAACACCCATTTTTATTAAACTTATATCTATTCAACCTACCTGAACTTGTTAACTGTGAAATCACATTTTTGTTATGTACTCAATCTCATCTCTGAAAATTAACTGTTTGGGACCCTACCTCTCCTTGGAAAACAGCATAGAGTTCTGGAAGTTGATCCATGGCTTTCAGCTTCCACCAACGGAGTTTATGCCAATCTTCTGATCAAGTTTCTTTTCCTATATTCTATATTATCCCCTTGGCAGCTAAAAAAAAAGCTCTTGTATTGAAAAAGAAGCAAAGTTAACGGAGACATATTACAAACAACATACAAGTTTCAGTAAAGAACAGTAAAGCGAGTTCAAGCTTTTTATTTTTCCACATTCCGGTCAGCGTGTACATCTTACGCCCTCCCTTCCCCGGCAGCGGATGATGGGAGCCGTCCTTCGCTTCCAATTTCACGTTCAGTGTTGGACTACAACTACCATTAATTTACCTCACAGGACAAACCGTTAGGAGAAAGTGACAGGCCTAGTTATCCTTGAGAAGCCAAACTGAAGAGAATTTAAAACTCGAAACCGCCTTCGCCCGGTCCTTTTTGCCCCGACTCACATCTTACCGCCGTCCAAGACTCAAACCAGGACCTCCACTCCAACCGCCGTCTTCCTTACCCGCCGCCCTCAGAGCGCAGGCAGCCTTCTTTCTCCTCCCCCCCCCCGCTCCTTTCAGCCAATGGGGAGACAGAATAAATGCAGGGTCGAGTGGGTCTCGACCATTCGGCGTTCTCCGTGTTAAGCGTAGCGATCCCTACATCTTGGTCCTCCCGCCTCCTCGACAGCGTCTTGAGCCAACCGGCGTCGGGGAACGGCCGTGTAAAGAACCAATGAGGAGAAGAGGGCGTGGCCTTGTGGCACTGTTGGACCCGCGCGGCGGTGTTGAGGGCCAAGAAGATGATCGACCCGCAGAAACGGAAGGCTCCTGGGCCGGATATGGCTTTGGTGGCGGCGGCTGCGGCTGCTAAGAAACCCCGCCATGAGCTCATTTTGGGGCCGGGTCCCGGAGCCGGGCAACCGCCTCCGGGCGCCTTGTTGCAGGCGGTGAGTTTCTCCCTGGGAGAGACGCGGCTAAGTTTTTCCTTGAAAATGGATGTTGGGCTTTTCCCCTTCAGAATCGTTTAATTCAACGTCATTTCCTAATTCTCATGTCTTGTCTGCTAAGCCGATTCAGATTTTTATTTTGCATTAGGTTACCTGCTTGCTACGTTTTGGGGTAGAAGGTGAGGGTTACAACAACAAACAACAGCAACAATAACTTTGCAATGACAACGTTGAAACTCTTTCACACTTAATATGTGAGTGCACCAAAACAGTGCAAACTGACTACAGGGCTAGACATGACTGAGTTGCTAAATTAATCCATTGGTCATTGTGTAAAAAATACACCTTGGAACATAAAGTGGAAAAAATTGTCATTGAAACATAAAATGGAAAAAAATGTCAAAAATGAGATGTCTTGTGGGACTTCCGAATACAGACGGGACGGCATTTAGAACACAATACGCTGCATGTCACAGTTGCCGAAAACTGAAGCACGTAATTTATTGATATCGCTGTATCAGGAGATACCAGAGTTTAAAAAAAACCTGGAAATGTACAATTTATTGATATCGCTGTATCAGGAGATACCAGAGTTGAAGAAAAAGAACTGGAAATGTACAATTTATTGATATCACTGTACCAGGAGACGCCAGAGTCGAAGAAAAAGAACTGGAAATGTAC